TGATGATCTGATTTGATTTTGTGTTGATGCAATTTGATTTTGATTTTGATTTTTCCAGATTGAGTTCCAATAGGATGCTTTCTGATACGATTGGGATCTCATTTCTTCTCTTGGAATCCTGATTGGGGTTTTGGTGAGATTGAAATTCATTTTTCTGGTATGAATTTGATACTGATTCGTTGATTGATTCACAATGAGTTCCAATGGGATACGATTTGGTTCCATCTGATACATGATTGAATCCTATTTCCCCTTTTAGGATTTGATTAGTCTTTCTGATTTCCAGTTGATTCTTCTGACCCTATTTGATTTAATAACCTGAACTGTTTTGTTTTGATCTGCTTTGACATCAAATCAAAATCTCTATTATTTTCTGATATGGTTTGCCTTCAGATTGGATTGATTGGCATCTGATATTAATTCACGGGATTTCTTGATGGATTCATTTTGATTTGTTTCGATTTTTCCCAGATTGAGTTCCAATGGGATACGATTTGGACCTGACTCGAAACTTTCCATTTCCAGATTCAATTTGATTTGATCATTTTCTGATTAGACTCTTGCAGACGTGAATTGGATTGCTTTTGGGGAATTTGGATACTGATTTGATTCCTGATGCGATTTTGTTTTGATTCAATCCTGATCATTAGCGCTTACTTTTCTTTTTCTTCTTTCAGGATGGACACTTCGCCTTGGTCTTTGCCGCCGAGACGGGTACATGGTAATGATGACGCTTAGTCTGAACCACTTAGAGCAGGATGCTACAATCCTGGTTTTTGCTTATGTTGCTGCCTCTGATTAAATTGGTGATGATGATTGGCTATCATATTGATGTCCTGAACCATTTGTTTTTCCAAAGTGCTTGCGCGTTTGGCCTATCTCGCATTCTGTCATGGTTATGTGCTGTGATTCGGTATAGTCCCTCACTTATGTATTGCTTGCCATTGCAACTGGTTCGGTTTTCGTGATGATCTGATTTTTGAATATGCTGCTAAACCATGTTTGATGTTGTTGTGCTTCTTTGGATATTTTCTTATGGCTTCTTGCGCATAAATCTGCCTTCTGATATATCATTTTGGCGCAGTTCAGTTTGCATATGGTGTTCTGTTTTGGAAATTGATGCAGTTTGGCTTGCATTTCAATTCTCTTGTCCTGTTTTGGTATGCTTTTGAGCCGAAGGCTTTGATGCAGCGTATGATGCTGTTTGGTTTCTCTTGTTCTGTTTTGAACTTGATATTCATTCTGTTTGGTAACAGATTTGTTTCTTTGGTGGCTATTCATACCTGCATTGGCGCGAGCCCCTTCCTAGTTTTGTTTATGCTTTGAGTTCTGATGATGCTTATGGCTTTTCAGGTGTTGGAAGTTTTGAAACCAAAGTGACTCAGACCTGCCGGCATCCGGGTCTGAGTCAGAACTTGCCTATGTTGCCTTATTCTCGTATCAGTTTGGAAATCCAATCGCGGCAAAACGAATCAGTCCCGCTTCATTTATTACTTCTATCTCTCGGATGTCCCGTATCGATAAGAACAGGTATTATCTGATCTGACGCCCACGGCGCGGATCGGTAATGGTGGGTAGGACGCAGCTTCGGTTGTGCCCCTCCCGGCACTCGATGATGACATTGTTCTGAGAGTGTCAAAAACATCTTCTAACATTCTATTCTGTTTTGCTTTGTTTCTCTTTGTGCAGGTTGAAATTGGAGACCTTGCGGAGAAGCTCAAAGGACATCATGAAGGACATTTAGAAGTTCCGGGACTTAGGATTTTTTAGAGTCAATGTAATCTCTGTAGTTGTAATTTTATGGCAACTCAAATGTAAAATGATTCAAACCCTTTTGTGCAATAAAAATTCTTATGCAATAAAAATTCCCAAAAACTTCCATGTATCCCTGATCATTCAAGCTTGCAATTGTTTATGTTTTACTTCTAGTTATAAATTGCAAACACTTGTGGATAAATCCACAAATATTTAAATTCATTACTCTAGTCATAAAACATAAACACTCCCAAAGGATATTCTTATCTGCACTTGTCTCATTTGTAATCCCAATCTCATCGTCTGATTAAAATCCCATTTAAATGTTAACCAACCAAACCAAACACGTATGTGCACCGTAATCACACTAGCTTCAGCATCAACAGTAACACTACTCGTAATTAAATTCCACTGACCAAATGCCAAGATCTTGATATGATCAGACCTGGTGATGGATAAATGCCTCGAAACAATAACGTATCAAACGCCTCCGAATTTTAATAACAGCCCGTCTTCAAGGAATTGGTAGAATTTGCGTAAAATGACCAAAATACCCTTGAGACCAAATCTGCAAAACAAACACCTTCATAACTTGTTAGTGGTTAGCAAATGTACATATGAGGTGATATGCGAAATGACTGACTAAATATAAGGGTAAAATTTGGGGTATTACAGATGTCATCTCAAGGCAAATTATAAAGACTCTTCTCATTGAATTTGGTAGAGATCCAAATGATCAATACTATCACATAACTTTTGGTGTATGTGAAACTGAAACAAAATAATAACAGATGTGGTTTTTTTCTTTGCTTTTGGAGGACATTGGTAAAGAAAAGATATGGGTTTTCATCTCAGACCAACAAAAGGTACTTGCACCACTGTAATTTTTTTGGATCTCATCCCTAACTATGTTAATTATTTTTGGGATCTCATCCTTAACTATGTTAATTGTTTTTGGTTTTCATCCCTAACTTTACAGGGTTTGATACATGTCTTTGAAGAATTGTTTGAGAGAGTAGAACACAAACTTTATCTCAGGCATTTATATGCCAATTTTATTTGTCCATGTCATTGATAATGTCAAGTACTTGAATTTGATTTATTTGTCTAGAGAAAGCCAAAGAAAATTGCAACAGGACAAGGATAAGGACGAGGACAAACCCAAACTCAAACTCAAACTGCATCAGGACAAGAAAAAACTCAAACTGAAACACAAAAATAGCCACAACCTAATGAAACTCAAATTGAAGTTGACCTTGAGTTTGAAATGCTTGCTAAAAATCTTGCAGTAGCATTTGAGGCAACTCAAACTCAACCAAACCTTACCGTTAATGGACCTGCTGCATTTGCACAAAGTAAACCAAATCATATTGTACATGTTACATCAGCTCATAGTGCACCTTATGCAACTTCACAAACTGATGATTTACTTGACTATATTTTGAGTGCATTTGTTCCATCAACTAATAATGTACCTACTGCACTTATTTCTAATACTCAAAGAGTTCTTAAAACAATTGAGTTTATTCTACCATTTCCTAACGATTTGGAATTATTCTATTGGTGTATTGCACCTCTAACACTCTATATTTTACAGAAGAATAAGAAGACAAACAAACCACAAGTTGCAAGAAAATTGGAGTTGAGGAGAAGTGACATGATAAGAGTCATTAGATGCAAAAACCTGAAGGGAGAAGGAAGTAATCCATCACAATTTATGGATGTGAACAATGATCCATAAACATCTTGTTATGGTGTATTTTGATGCCTTTTGGCTATGTTTGTTGTGTCTTTATTGTATTGTTCGACGAAAGTCTATGCCCTTTAACTTTATGTAATTTTGAGACATATAACATCATTATGGTTTATGTTATGGTGTGTATTTGCTGTACTTTGAGACAAAATTATATGCCTTTTGGCTTTATGTTTTGAGACATCTTTATGATTAATGTATGATGTGTTTTTCCTATATTTTGAGATCACCTTTTATGCCTTTATGTTCTATAATATTAACTAAAACAATACAAAATAGGAATGATATACAAAAATATCATTAACAACCAAGGATGCAATACAAACAAATCATTAAGAAAGAGGAATGCAAAAGAAGAAGTTACAAACATATAGGGACGAAAATAAAAAATTGCATTGGTTCTAATTCATTTCATAATGTAACATTATAAGGACGCAATTCAACAACCATCCTTCTAGTATGGACAAAAAAAATACAAATTCCATGAATATGAAAATCACTACCATTTATGGTAGGCAAAGAAGAGACACCATGAAAGAGTCAACAAAAGCTTAAACATTTTGGCCTTCTTCCTTTTGTTTTTCAACTTCAATTTCATCTTTTTTTTCTTCCTAACTTCAAGATCTTTAATGATGCAACCTAACTCCTGAGCTACCTCTGAGCAATTGGATCCGATTCAGTTTTTGTGTTTAGTTGATGTGTTGCATTCAAGTTCATCATCCCAGATGAATAACTTGCAACCTAATCCCAAATTAGAACACTTCCAAAATCTTCTTTTAGGATTTTCAATTGAGTTTGAACTGAACATTCTTATAACTTTATTGCAACCATAAAATATGATTTGAGACTCAGAGAAATTACATACAGAAGATGTTGCCATGCTTGAATCTGTACTAGGTTTTGAAGTTTGGAATAGAGGAAGGACAGGGGAAGAAGCGACGAAGAAGAATAAGTGATGCAAAATGGTGATTTTTTTTTGGATTTAGTCCTCCTTTTCAAGACTTTTCCATTTGGTTTTCCACGCAGTCATCACATAAAAATGTAAAACAATTCCACGTCTGTACCGTTTGTCAAATTAGTTTTTTTTTTACAAAAATTTAACATTAGAGACTAAAACCAACATAAAAGTGAGATATAAGAATTCAGACAAAAAAAAAAATACATAGACTAAATTCAAAAACTCGATAACTTAGATATACCACATGACTATTTAAGCTTTTATTATTTATTTATTAATTTTTGACACATTCACCTTTATTTTATTAGTTATTTTAATGGGTATTCTAAACTTTTTTAGCGTGGGGGTGTTGAAAGTTCAAGGTGGGGTTATTTGTTTATTTTCTCAGATTGGGTTTTAGGGCTTCCATTTCCTTTAACCTAGCAAATGCAGCCGCCACTGTAATTCAAGCACGACGCTGCTTCATTCTCATTCCTATTCCGATCTTTCATTTCTTCTTCACTATCTCTCTTCCTTCTATTTCGAGTTCCAACAATGGCGGTAAGTTACTTCTCACTGATCTTCTTATTCTATTCCCTTTCCGACTTTTATTCTCCATTTTCAAACTTTCTCGTACGGTGAATGCTACAGATTGATAGAATTTTCAAAGATGAAGCAAGCGAAGAGAAAGGAGAGCGCGCAAGAATGGTGAGTTTGCGTCCATTATGATTTCGTGTTCGTGTTCATTTTGAAATTGTATTGGCAATGCGTTATTCTCATTGTGTTGTTAACCCTAACTGAATGTGTTTTGTGATTTAGTCATCTTTTGTTGGTGCTATGGCTATTGCTGATTTGGTTAAGACTACATTAGGGCCAAAGGGAATGGTAAAATCTATTTTTCATTAGTTCGATATGTTGCTTAAGATTTTTACTGGTTTCTAACTGATTCACATATCTGGGATCATGATTGCAGGATAAAATTTTGCAGTCAACTGGTAGAGGCCGTGAAGTTACTGTAACTAACGACGGTGCTACAATTTTGAAGTCACTTCACATTGATAACCCAGCTGCTAAAGTTCTTGTTGGTATCCTTTTCATTTTCTATTTATTGTAGCGGTGATAGCACTTAGATGTTATTAGATGTATAGTATGTACAGTACATGATTTCAAGTAGCATTTAAGGCAGCAAGAATATTGTATATCGGACTTGAAGAGCATCCTGATACTGATAAACCCATTGTTGTGGTATTGTTTTTTTGATGTAAATATATCTAAGTTTATATCAGAAGATAATTGTCCTTAATATAAGTTATAAGACATTTCAAAAGTTCAAGATGATGAAGTTGGCGATGGAACAACCTCAGTTGTTGTATTGGCTGGGGAACTTTTGAGGGAGGCAGAAAAGCTGGTTGCAGCTAAAATTCATCCAATGACTATAATAGCAGGTTCTTTTCTTTGCTTTTCAACTATGGTTCAAATGCTCGGGTTATAGGGAGTGTGTTACGAATTTAATGCCAATAAGTTAGTTGAGTTGTTGATGAAAGCTACATTTTCCTTGTTATCCACCCTTTTGCTTTTCTGTATATTTTACAGCAGTTGAGTGCTACTTTGAAGGCTGGTGCTGAGCAAATAAATGTAGAAAGTTTTAAGTTTCAATAATTTAGTTTGAGATTAATTGTTATGCACTGTCAGTGTAAAAAGTTTTACACTGTCAATACATCACAATCATCCGTTGGTATTAATTTTCAGGTGGTTAAAATAGAAGTCAAATCTTTTAAATAAATCAACGGTTATGATTAACTGACAGTGTAAAAAATCTTTACACTGTCAGCGTATATCAATTAAATTCTTAGTTTTTTCATCTTTGTAAATACATTTGGAACCAATTTATCAATACATGTTATCTAATGGTGATAACAGAGGCAGTCACTGAAAATTTTCATTTTCATTTTATTCTTTCTAAGGCTACCACGTCTATTCTTCCTTTAGTTTGGTTTTGTTGTCGGTGAACTTTTCATCTTTCGAGAAAGATGAGTAAAAAGAAATTATTATGGGAAGCATCAGAAACATAAACACTCAAGTTTGATAGGTTTTTCATGATTGTTGTTCCTCTTCGTAGGGCAGTTCTCTGTATTGATTGGTTTCAAATGGTGCCTTAATGTGATTAACATCATAGTATTTGACATTATTGGTTATGATTTCAGGTTTCCGAATGGCGGCTGAGTGTGCTCGTGATACATTGGTTGCGAAGGTCGTGGACAACAAAGGAGATGCTGGTATTTATTTTCTCTTTTTGATGTTTCTTTTGGGGGTTAGGTTTTGCCATGGGTTCTGTAGCTTTTGAATACTTTATTATTAGAATTGGTTTTATTATTTTGTTTACAGCAGGGTCTGATATGCATTCTTTTGTCTAATATCTTACACTTGAATGTCCTGGATTATGAAGAGAAATTCAGGTCAGACTTGATGAACATTGCAAGGACTACTTTGAGCTCCAAAATTCTCTCACAAGACAAGGAGCATTTTGCAAAGTTAGCTGTAGATGCTGTAATGAGATTAAAGGTAAGCAATTAATACCTTACTAATAGAGTCCAATTTTGTCGGGTTTAGCAGAAAGTGCATGCATTTTCGCTAAGTTTTCTGTCTTGGACCGTGTGGAAAAACTTCAGTATAAAAATTAGATACAATTGTGATCTATATAATACTTATAAGCGTATTTTAGTCATAACTTGGTTACTATACTTTTTATGACCATAAAATAAAATTTTCCAAATTAGCTGTAGATGTTGTAATGAGACTAAAGAAAAACAGTGACTTCCCTACTAATACAGAGTCCAGTTTTTGTAGATATAGCGCATAGTGTATGCACTGTTGGTTCAGAGTTATCAATCCCAGATAGCAGCCGACCCAAAAAATGCGATAGTGGGATAAATTTTTGGACTAATTAAATGAATAGTCTATCTATGTATTCAATGTAGATTAAATAACTTTTTGGACTAATTATATGAAAAACAACAACCTGAAAACGAATAGAAAAACAATGAATAGAGAAGAATAGGAAAGAGAACAAAATAGAAAAGCAGAAAACAGAAGTAGAGAAGAAGAATAGAGAGAAGCTTGAAGTAGTTGAGGTGGAGGAGTTAGGGCAAGAGAAGCAGCAAGCGAAAAACGTGAGAAGTAGCGAACAGAATTAACGCGATGGAGAAAGGTGAATACGCGAATTAGAGAGGAGATAACACGAACAACCATAATAAATTTTCCAATTTTAAAGTTTTTAAGGGTAAAAAGATCTTTTCGCATTCCAAAAAAGCCCTAAAAGCAGAAAACCGCTCTGGGCCGGGAAGTGCCCCACTTCTGCAACCCGCTATCCATGCTTTCTCGGCCGCTATCCAAAACTGGGAAGCGCACCGCTCCTCCCTAGCGGAGGGTTGCTGCACCGGGAGAGAATCCCGGGATAGCGCCTGGAGCAGCCGCTATTAATAACTCTGTTGGTTTTGTCCTTTGGTTCCATGGAAAAACTTCAGTCTATAAACAATACATACAATTTTGATCTATAAACTTCTCTGCATACTTGGCTAAATACTTAGAAGTGTATTTCATTTAGAACTTCGATTACAGTGCTCTTATATTTTTGCCAGGTTATAGCAGTGTTTTGTCTATATCAATGGTTTTCCTTTTTTATTTCCAATGGCTTAAAATACAGAATATTCCCAATTTACATTTTATTGGGATTCCTGTTTTTTTGTACTTCTGTGCTAGCCATGTATTTATGTTTTTTCTTTCTTTCATTGCGGTTTCTATGGTTATAAAATTAATTATATGCCTTATAACATTTTCATTTCCATTTTAAAATTGCAGGGAAGCACAAATTTAGAATCTATCCAGATTATAAAGAAGCCCGGAGGATCACTGATAGATTCATTTTTAGATGAAGGGTAATATTTCTGATACTTAAAATATTTAGTTTGAGTATCATACAAAATTTCAAATATCTGCTGTTGCTGTGCTATGGCGGAATAGACGGTGGTTTTTGGGCTCTATGCAATGGTATATATCACCCGATATTGTGCGTACTCTATTGTATTGAGTTGCATAGGTACTCTTCAAAATTAGAATCTTTAGTTTGAGTATCATTCAATGTTATCAAATACTCGCCATGGCGGATGTACCTGCCGGTTTTTGGGCTCTCTGCAATGGTACATATTGGCCTATATTGTGGGTTTTTCCGCCATAATCCTCTATAACTGCGCTGCAAAGTGGCTGGTATTGCAGGATATTGGCTCTCTGCCATGGACCGCCATCAACAACACTTGCATCATATGCTTTTATTCTATCCTTTTCAAAATCAGAGTGTTTCTCTATTGTATTGAGTTGCATAGGTAGTCTTCAAGTAATTTGGATAAGCTCAAGTGATTATCAGCAACACCACTATCCTGTATAATGAACTATTTGCATTAGTCTCTGGGTAATAAATAATCTTTTATGTTTCTGAGTTGGATTATATTTTTGTTTAGATTCATCCTTGACAAGAAAATTGGTATTGGGCAACCCAAACGCATAGAGAATGCAAAGATACTAGTTGCAAACACTGCAATGGACACAGACAAGGTGAAGATTTACGGAGCCCGTGTTCGTGTTGATTCTATGGCTAAAGTTGCTGAGATTGAAGGAGCTGAGAAAGAGAAAATGAAAGAAAAGGTGAACAAGATAATAGCTCATGGCATCAACTGTTTTGTTAACAGACAGTTGATATACAATTTTCCAGAGGAGCTCTTTGCTGATGCTGGAATATTGGCTATTGAGCATGCTGATTTTGATGGTATTGAGCGTCTGGCTCTGGTTACTGGTGGTGATATTGCTTCAACCTTTGACAACCCTGATTCTGTTAAGCTTGGGCAGTGTGACCTCATTGAAGAGATTATGATTGGTGAGGATAAATTGATTAAGTTTTCTGGTGTTGCAATGGGGCAGGCATGCACAATAGTTCTGAGAGGGGCCAGGTACTTTTTTCTTATGTCATTGTAAATTCCTTTCAAATGTTGTTCTTTTGCATATTCAGGGACTTTAATCTTGACAACATATCACTTCGGATCATCATGTTTGTAATAAAAGAGTCATTTGTATTAGAAACATAATTACAAACAAAAGTTCACCTCACAAATGGCCCTTTTGTTCAGTTTCTGTGATGGTTTTTTAAAGGCTAAAGGATTTTAACTATAATTTTGTTTGTTTAAAATATTTTATAATTTTCAGCTTATAGTTATTGAGTCCAATGGGTTAACTAGACTGATGTAATGTCAAATTTTTATTGCTTTTATATACACATGTTCTTGTGCTATCAAACCAAGTTAGTTTATGTCCATAAATTCTCCTGCCCCTATCAATTTTTTCAGTCAGTACGTTTGAGCAGGGGCTTGTATAGGTGTAAGATTTATCTGAGTAGAGAACTTTTTTCAACAAATTTGATTGGAAGTTTTTATTTTTAGTAGGCACTTTTAGTCTGACATCTATTTTTGTGCAGCCACCATGTTCTTGATGAAGCTGAGAGGTCATTGCATGATGCCTTGTGTGTGCTATCTCAGACTGTCAATGATAGCAGGGTGTTGCTTGGAGGTGGGTGGCCTGAAATGGTGATGGCGAAGGAAGTAGATGCATTGGCTAGGAAAACTCCGGGTAAAAAGTCTCTTGCAATGGAGGCATTCTCCCGGGCACTCTTGGCTATTCCAACAACCATTGCTGATAATGCTGGTTTGGACAGTGCTGAATTGATTTCTCAGCTCCGGGCAGAGCACCAGAATGAGGGATGTAATTCTGGAATTGATGTCATCTCTGGTTCTGTAAGTACAATACTGAGTGGGTGGCTTTATTCAACAGGAAATTAATTTGAATGACTAGTATATCATTCTTCTATCGTTTCTTTTTTCATTTGGGTTGGTTGCTTCAAGATGCACTTAAGCAGGACTGTCTTAGTTTTTGACTTGATTATATTGATTTATTGTCTCTTTGTTGGTAGTAGATTTGCTTCTGGTAATCGCATTCATGTAGCCATTTCCTAATTAGATAGACTCCATAGTAGATGATAGGGACTTGTGGGTACCCAAGTCCAACATTGATTAGTATGAGATGCCTATTGAAGTTCTTACATCATGTAGCCATTTTCTAATTAGATAGACTCCATAGTAGATGATAGGGACTTATGGGGACTTATGGGTACCCAAGTCCAACATTGATTAGTATGAGATGCCTATTGAAGTTCTTACATGGTTTGGCTCTTACTACTTAACTAGGGTGTTAAAAAATTGGTTGCTGCTTGCTCCAATTTAAAGAACCCAAACCGACTTTTAGAAAAATCTAAACTGGGTATTCTAAGCCCAAAAGCAAAGAAACCCAATGCCATTTTGAGGTTAAGGTTTGTAACCGGTTCGTGTATGGGTATATGGTTTCATTCCCCAAGCTCTCTGCTAACCTCTCCTTTGGTTCTTCCAGATTAGATCCCTCTGCCATCAACACCAACTAGAAAAAAATATATCCTTTTGGTTAAGGTTGGCTATTTGAAATGGAATGCAACTAGACAATAGTGGATTGGGCACTTGTTTTTTAACCATAAGGCGTATTCAACACCTATCAAAAAGAAGAGAAGAATAAAACAGTGAAGTTGACTAAGCATATAGAAAAAATAAACCGAATTTGAACCGTTTTAAAACCGTTTTACTGAAATAAACCTGTTTAACTCGGATGGTAGTCTTAAAACCCAAACTTTATTTTTGGTTTATATTCATTTAGGTTTGGTTAACCACCTCATCAACCTTGACATCTAGATTTTAATGAGTGCTTTTGGGGCTTAACTGTGTAATATACACAGGGATGAAGAGCAGTGATTTACCAAATGTTCGTTGTGTGTTCTAGAAAAGTATTGTATTGACTGCTAGTTCATCATCATGCTTCCTTTCTATGCGTTTTGGCTAATATAGTTTGACATGTATGTACTTGTGGTAGGTTGGAGACATGTCTGAAAGGGGGATTTGTGAAGCATTCAAAGTCAAGCAGGCTGTATTGCTATCTGCAACAGAGGCAGCTGAGATGATCCTTAGAGTTGATGAAATCATTACTTGTGCTCCTAGGAGGAGAGAAGACAGAATGTAATCTAGTGATCATCAAACATAAGATGCTTGCCACGCCTTGGCAAATTCTGACTTATTCTGGAAAATTGTTATTTGCGACAGCAGCCAAAAGCGAATCTCTAAGGAGTTGATGCCCTTACAGTTTAAATCCACTGGTCACTATTGAACTTTTTATGTGCTTGTTTAAATTTTGATGATTATGTATATCTCCTGTTTCACCTTGTGCTGGCTTTTTGTTCACTTGAAATATTCTGTTATATTTCAAGTCTCTTTCATGTGCATCAGGGAAGCTCCGAATTGAAATTTGACTATTTAAAATCTTCGATGACTGTATTAGGTGTCTATTCTTAATATATTGTTTGAAAGGTAGTATAGACTTATAATATCGTAGTGTGTTGTCATTATTAAAAAAAACAAGAAATGTACCTGCCGTTTTTTATTTGGTATAAAACGATGATTCTTATAGTTCAGTCCTCACATGTTTCTTTATGTTTTCCGAATTCCTCATATTCCAAAGTCAATTGCCAAATAACTTCTGTCGTCTGCCATATCATAAACATTTAGTGTATAAAGTTTTACAGTTGGTGTTTAATAAGTTATAGAGATTAATTGTTATGCAGTGTTAGTGTAAAAAGTTTTACGGGTAGTGTAAAAAGTTTTACACTCAATGCGTCACAATTATCTGTTTGTATTCTTGGTAAATATAAACCTACTGCCGAATCGGTTATATTGAATACTAATACTGAAATAAAGAAATATTATATTTGAGGATGCAAAATGATTCTAAAAAGAAAGAAGATGCAGATCAGCATTGTGGTAGAAACCCATTCAAGGCTTGCCACATCATCTTCACATAAAAAAATTCATACTCTAATATTTATAAAAAAATTCATACTCTAATATTTATATCAATATAAAATCTACCAGCATAATGACAATCAATTTCATCTATTTCCAATATTCATTCAATTCCACTCTTTCCTCTTTATCTATAACCCATTTTCATTCATTAGAAATTTTTTCCTAAAATTGTTTTTCACGTACCACAAACAAACCTTTGATTTTCTTCTTCAATTAAATTTGGTGGTGGCATGTGGGTAATGGAGGCGTGTGATTTTCTTCTTCTCACACTCTACAACCAACAAACAGAGTTTGATTTTCTTTTTCAATCAAACATGATTTCAGATCTGAATTTGACAGTGACATAAGTGTGACGACGTGGATTTAGTTCTGGTTTTTCGATTTTGGTTTTTGATTTCATCTATTTCTATTTTGTGTTTCAATTTGTATTTTGATTTTCGATTTGGATTTTGATCTTGAATCGTTTCTATTTTGTTCTGAATTTTAGGAATAAGGAGCTAAGTCATGTGACTTAGGGAAATGATGAATTTTTATTTATGTTATGAATTTTTTGTTCTTTTTTGATTGTGCGTGAAATTTTTAGATATAAATTATTTTTAGATGTGAATTTTATGATATGAATTTTTAATTATTAATGATATAGGGTATTGTTGGGTGTTTGATGATGAAGGTGATGGTGAGGTAGGGGATGAAGGTGGTGGTGAAAGATGGTGTTGACGATGATGAAGGAGACAATGAAGAGTTTAGAAAGTCCGGAGATGAAAGAAGAATTTGATGAATGCATAATGAAAGTATGAAGAAAAGGAAAAAAATGGATTTAAATTTTTTAATTAGTGATATTAGTTTTATTATTAAAAATATAATTTATTAAATTATTCAATAAAAACTAATAATTAAATATTTTTGTAATTTAATTTAAAAGATTATTTTTAAAATCTAATAATTTATATTAATTAACATCAAAGGATATTATAAATATGAGTTAATAGAATTATTTTATATAAAAAAACTAAATAATAAATCATCCTAATCATCGTTTCTATGTTATTAAAAATATTTTTTCTATAATACATATGTAAAATTGGAGGATGACCAACCAAATTCTAAATAATATAAAGTTTAGAAAATCAAAATAGTTTAGAGAATCAAAATATTAATTTTTAAAATAAGAGGACTAAAAGTTAAAAAAATATTTTTAAAATGAGAGAATTAAAAGTTAAAAAAACGATCAAAGTAGGGGATAAAATTGTATTTAAATCAAAATGATATTTGTAATACAAATCCATTTTTTCAGTCTGCCAATACTATTGCTTTTACGTCTAAATGCGTGTTGTAGAACTAAAATATTTCTATATGTTTCTAAAGAGACACCACTATAATTTGAGCAGCAACTAGATACAAAAAACTAAATCTGCTACACTAATATATTTGATTAAGATTAATGCAAAAACACCAAAACTTGTATTTCTTTTTCCTCTTCTTTTCATAAGACTCAATTTCACCCCACATATATTAGAGGCCATAGAAGTAATTAAACTCAGCAGCAAAGACATATTAGAAACTTTAAACATAGAACAAGTTGCAATATACTAAATATCCCTATTAACCGAGAAAGTACAGAGTGTTTCGATTTTTTAATTAATAAAGTTACTTACAAATGATTGTAACTGCTATAGAAACACTGGAAATGAGATTAGGGACAAAATAGATAGCTGTTCTTGAGGTGCTTTTCTTATATTTAGATTTGAAGTCCAATCAATATCACTGAAAACTCTGAGGAAAAGAGTTGCAGTGTATGAGTTATGAAAAGATGCAAACCATGCCCAATTGTGCATTTGAGATACCATAAAGACACATAAGAATTCTCTTAACAATCATGTGAGATATTTGATCGAATTCTAGTATGGTCGAAGAGTAATGCGTGTTGCAGTCGAAATTTGTTTTAACATGCATTAGTCAATATTGCTAGGTTTGTTAGCATGTTGAATTGGGCCTTACTTGTAAGCCCAATTGTTTAAGTTAGCTTGTACAATAAGTTAGCATGTAATGGATAATTGTTAAAAAGCCTATTAAGTTAGTGTGCTAATTTTCTTATAAATAGCATGCTAGTCTCTCATCTTGCATAAGAAAAAATAGAAAGATAAAATCCTAATTCAAGAAAAAGAGGTTATTTGTTATTCTTGTATACTTGTAATCTTGTTTGACAGAGAAAGGAAAGAATAAAAATTTATAACCAATCCTTGTTGTTTTCCCTTATTTTGTTTGTTAACCCTAACCCTTGTGTGTTTCTTGTCTATAAAGAAACCGTGTATGTTTTGTTTCAAGGCATCCTTTTTTCACAACAAATTGGTCCGGTGAGCGTGGAAAAGATGCCTTCAACAAAGTATGAGATTGAAAAGTTCACCAGAGTGAACGATTTCGGTCTGTGGCGCTTGAAGATGAAGACCCTACTAGTTCAGTAGGGTTGTTTAGAAGCGTTAAAGGGAGAGACAGCCATGGACGCTACATTAACAACAAAAGAAAAGATGACCATGATTGAGAAATGCCACAACGCAATATTGTTGAGCCTTAGTGATAAGGTTCTTCGACAGGTATCAAAGGAGACTACAACATCGGGGTTATGGGTAAAACTTGAAAGTTTGTACATGACCAAATCTTTGGTGAATCGACTCTACCTGAAGCAAGCTTTGTATTAATTCAAGATGAGTGAAGACAAAGTGTTGGCTGAGCAGTTGGATATGTTCAACAAGCTGATTCTTGATCTTGAAAATATTGATATGAAGATCGATGATGAAGATCAAACACTATTGCTGTTGTGTGCCTTGCCCAGAACACATGCTCACTTCAAAGAAACTCTCTTGTATGGAAGGGAGTCCCTGAGCTTTGAAGAAGTTCAATCAACCATGTATTCTAAGGACTTGAACGAACGAAAGGAGCATAAACCTTCGATGATGGGCAAAGGTTTGACCGTTAAGGGAAAGTCTTGTGAAAGGATGGTAAGTTCGACAAGAAGAAAGGTAAAAGTCAGCAAAAGTCTTATAGTGGCGAAGCATCTGGTATTCGATGCTATCATTGTAAGAAGGAGGGTCACACAAGAAAGGTGTGCCCTGAATGCCTAAAAAATTATGGAGGTAAGGATAATGGCACCACAACCATTTTTCTAGATGACTTTGAATCATATGATGTCTTTGTAGTTTCAAGTGACGACTCAAGAAAGGAGTGGATTATGGATTCAGGTTGCACTTGGCACATGACTCCAAACAGATAGTTGTTCGAGGAGCTATGTGATCAAGATGGTAGATTGGTGCTGCTGGGAAACAACAAATCTTGCAAAATTGCAGGTATTGGATCTGTGAGATTCAAGCTCCATGATGAGCCAATAAGGTTATTGACTCAAGCCAGATATGTACCTGATTTTAAGAGAAATTTGATTTCTTTTGGTGAATTCGACAGGAAGGGATATGTTTTTCAAGGAGAGAAAAGTATCCTAAGAGTCATGAAGGGGTCGAAGAAAGTCTTGAGAGGTGTGAAGAAACAAGGCTTGTATACCTTGAGGCTGAGGTTGTAAGTGGTTCGACAAATATTGCATCCATGAAACCTGTGTCGAAGACAAAATTATGGCACATGAGATTGGATCATGTCAGCGAAAGAGGCCTGATCGAATTGGGGAAGCAGAACCTGCTAGGAGGAGACAAATTCGAAAAGTTGGAGTTTTGTGAATCTTGTGTATTCGGTAAATCCTGTAGGGCAAAGTTTAACAAAGGCAAGCAAAGAACACATGGATCCCTGGATTCCATTCATGCTGATCTTTGGGGGCCTGCAAGGAATCCCTCACGCTCAGGTGCAAGGTATTTTCTATCCATCGTTGATGACTATTCCAGAAAGCTATGGATATTCATTCAGAAGACAAAGGATGAAACTTTTGAGAATTTCAAAAGTTGGAAGGTTCAGGTCAAAACTCAAACTGGCAGAAAGGTTAAGAGGTTGAGAACTAACAATGGTCTTGAGTTCTGCAATGAAGTGTTCGATAGTTACTGTGTTGAGTCTAGGATTGCAAAGTGCAATACACCTGTCAAAGAATTCAGCCTATCATGAGCAAATAAAGCACATTGATGTGAGACTGCATTTCGTCAGAGGGGTAATCGAGCGTGGAGAAGTCCA